CAAACTGCACCCAGAATGTCTGCAAATCTCCAGGACAAATGATGTTTAGGGGATAGAAAGGAGGATCCCAAAGGGCAAACTGCACCCAGAATGTCAGTGTGCTGACCCAGAGGGGAACACACTCAGCTGCTGTCCTGCAGTGGGGATCCTGCAGGGAGTCACTGCCTCAGAGGGGCCATCCAAAATGTGCAGTCAGCACAGATGCATTAAATGATGGGATCCCCTCAAGGTTTAGTTAGGAGAGCTTAATATTTACCCCAGCCACTTGCACAAGTTTTTACTTTGAGTTCTCTGGGTAATTCCTCTCCCCACTTTGCCATGCTTCACTCCTGTCCCAAAATGACATCACTCTAAAGATTGTTTTGCAAGTGCCTTTTAGAACAGGACCACTCCTGAGGCCAGAATAAGCACCTTAATGGGAAAAGAGATCTCCTCCCAGACAGACACACAGCCCTCTTCCATTTCCTTGTGCCCCCAATAACAGACCCCCCTTGTTACCAGTAAACAATCCTCTGCAATCCTTTGCTTTCCTGAGATGATGTGAAGGTGCAGATGTCCTTTGTCAGCTCCAGTTGTGTGCACAGGAACAGCCATCAGTCCCTCACAGCTCAAACCCAACACCCAGCACTGCCTGTGCCTCCCCTCAGGAGCCTTTTCTGGTTCTGAACTTTAATTATTTTGCACAGGACACTAACAAAAACTTTCTGAGAAGCCTGAGCTTGAATTCTGGAATCTTAAGGGAAAGAAAGATGCTACTTGTTACTTTCTGACAGACTTTCTAAGAGATGACACATGCAGAAGAGTTATTTCTAGAAAACTACAGAAGAAATGTAAATGTTTTACATTAACATGCCTCCTCCATTGTTTTAATTACTGCCTAATGAATTTTAGCCCTCGGAATATATCCCTTGTATGGCTGAGAAAATGAGAAATAAGTCATAGCAGAGCAGTCAGAATGAAAGGAAGAGGAAAAACCAACACAAAAACAAACACACACATGAGGAGAGGCAGAAAAATGCACACAGAGATCTGAAGATAATAACTCCTTTTTTATTTTTGTTATTTTTCTCACATTTTCTATCATGACCCTTACCTTGACCTTTTGCTAAATTCGTCCTTCATGCTTTAGGAACTTGATGCCTTGGAATACAGCAACTCTTCCTCCTGACACTTCTAAATCCATGCTCTGCAGACTTGAATGAATCCAGAGTTCCACAGCCTGGACTGGAAGTTAAATCCTGGACTGTTGATATTGATACTGCATTTCCATCTGTGCCATGTACAGAATGAGTGCAGATGAATGTTAAGATTTATTCTGTTGCATTCAGCCAGACAAGGTGTCTGATGAAGTTTTGCCCAGCATTTAGAGACTAGAGGAACTGAAATGGGTTGCATAATGCCATGCAGAACCAATTAGGGGCAGTCAGGGGAGAATGTTCCCAGACTGCTAATGCAAGGAATGAGCACAGAAAGTACAAATGCTGGATGCATTCTGGCAGCACTGTGCTTTATCATGGCTACATGGTCTCTGACCAAAAGTCAAGCAATACTTGACTTGAATAATACTTGAATAATGTTGCTTTGTAACATTAAAAAGTACAATTCACTTTCTATCAGATTTGTTGCAAATTTCTTTTGAAGTTTCTGGTAAACATAAATCAAGCCAGTCCACATTCCCATTTTTATGAGAAACAGAGACCAAGTGTTAAATCTGAAAACACAAAGTGAGTGGCACACTGGTAAAAGAATGGATGAACCACCCATATTGCCTACCTCCATTTCAAACTCTTGCATTGTACCAATCAGAGCCCCCAAATCATTCCTCTGGTTCTGCACCAGCTTGGGGCTGAGTCTTCAAGCAGAAAGCTCACAGATCCATCAGGTTCCTTCTTCTTCTTTAAGATCCTTCCCCTTACACAAGGGAGCCCCAGCAAGCACTTGCTCTGCAAGATGCTCATTGCCACATTGACATTTGGCAGTGAGTCATGCACAGAGCCACTTTCTCAGCTTCCTCAGTGAAAAGGTGAAGGCTGTGTCCTCCCTGGAGGCAAACAGAACCCTGCTGCAGTCACTAATGGTGACATAAGATCCTGACACACAGGAGGAAAGGTGATGCTCCACACCAGCCCCAGCTGCAGGTGCTCCCAGTGAGGCTGCACCAGAAGAAAAGCACGGCAAGCACAAAAGATCATTCCCCTCTCCTGCACTTTCAGCTTCATTGACCGTGTTAGGAGCCAACAGCTGCATTTTGGCATCTAGGAACAAGGTATGTGTAGAGAATTCACCTGGTTTGCAGACCAAAGAGGAATTCTAGGAGAAAGTCAATTCTCCTGGATGTCATGGGTGACCTGTGTGCCTTTAACCCAGGTTTCCATACTCCCTCTACTGACTAAAGCTGTAACCATGCAGCTGGAGTTGGGCTGGACACTCGGTGCTCTCTATTATGTGCTTACAGGAGAAAAAGAAAGGAACTCTCAGTCACATTTTCAGTCTTAAGCACCGAAAGGGCAGGAGAGTAGGACTGGCTGGTCACTGCTGCTGCATCCTTTTCTTGTAACCTTGTGTAAAGCTCTGGAGAAATGCCTCAACACATGCAGAAAAATCATAATAAAGCTTCTCTGGCTTAAAACAGCACTTAAAACCCATTCTTGTAAATATTTTCAGAAACCAATTGTAAAGATGTGCAACTTTAGAGTCTCCCAGAAGGAATAAGCTGAACTTAATCTTTCCACTGCTCTGTCACCATGACCTGTGCCCTGCCTCAGTTCCAGCACTATGAATTTCCTAACTGCAGATGTTGGTGGCACGCTGCTTAAAATTTTGTGTGGCAGTATTAAAAAGAGATTTAAAGTAATTAATGAAAATGTAAAAAACAATGAGATGCTGCAAGTAAAAGTGCTCAGGTGTCACTTTGTATTTAGCCAGAGTGTGCTGGTGAGCTGCTGTTGCTCTGCAGCTCTTGGAGATGCACAAGAGGAAGGATGAGGCAGTGGATGGGGGAAATAAAAAGGGAAATAAATGTGGGACCTCAGGCATTACACTTAGCAAGAGATTTTAAAGGGTACCCATAAAATTAGCTCAGCACAGCTGTACCCCCAGGGTCATTGTATGGACAAACACATGAAGAATGGACATGATGCTACAAGAACAAGTTAATACCTGTATATGCTGACAGCATTGTCCCAGTTTGCTCCAGAGCTCAAGCACAGGAATCAGGGCCCCTGTCAGTCTTGGGTGCAGACACGTCAGGCCCAGGAACTCCTAATGTGGTGATGCCCCAGTTCATGAAGCACCAGCCCAGCCTCCCTTCTAACAGCCCCACCATTACTTTCACTCCCACTACTTATTCTAGCTCTGCTCTCTGCTTTCAGCCTCAGTGAGCACAAGATGAAAAGGTTGCTAGCACGAGAATTCATTCCCCTGTCTCCAGCCTAGCTGTGTGAGAGAGGGAACAGCCTGCAAGGGGACTGCAGAGTGCACAGGCCCTGGCAGTGAGGTGATCTGAGCTCTGTCACCCACCTGTGGCTCTCAAACTGCAGCAGCTGCAGCTGGAGCTGGAACTGCAGCAGTGGGGCCAGCAATGCACAGCCCAAGGAACTCTGCACTTCTCTCAGTACTGCATCTCAAGGCCTCAGCCCCTGGCCTTGTACACCTGCAGTATAACATGCATGAGTGTTAGCCCTAACAGCAACAGTCAGCTGAACTCACAGATTTAACCCAAAAGCAAAACAGCCTTGAATGGTAAATGGTTCTCCCCTCCCTCCCCAAACCACTGCACATAAGAAATTTTTATTACTGAATTTACAGATCCATACTTTTTGTTAACAATTGCCTGAAGTTAGTTTCCTCTCATGCTTTATTTCTATTGCTTTCTGGGTTTTACACCTCACATCACCCTCACTCTTGCTTTTCACTGTCTTCAGCTACTGCCTCACTTTTAGTGTGTTCTAATTTCAATTTGTTGTTCAAACTCCAAACAAGCCACCCTCACTTTCACCAACCATAGCATGCAAAGCAGCAATTCTTTAGCCACAACTTCTGCATTTACCCAACTCTCTGACAAAATATGTTGTGCTGGGCTTCAGTTTCCCCATGGGGACTGGAGCTGGTCTGAGAGGAGCTTCCATATGATCTGTAGAAGTCCTGTTCCAAACACCTCAAGAATTTGCAGCTGGGACTTCCTTGCTGCTGTGCCAAGATCATGATTTATTTCTCTGATGGGGATCTCCACTGCTAGTAATAGATGCTGTTTGAATAGACTGAAGAGGATCACTCCCACTGATGAATAAACCATCAGCAAAAAGCCTTTCTCTGTACTCTCTGCTGATTATGAGTACTTAGTAAGCTGTTCTGTACATCTTTTGGGGTGTGAGGGAGAAAGCTCTGAAAGGATCATCTTAAATTCAGGAGTATTCTCCTTTCAGGATAACACAGTACATCTGCATACACGTGTATTTAGGCATTGCTGATCACACATCAAAAGTTCTGCTATTTCAGCACTGAATTTGGAATTCATTTCACTCTGGATGTATCCTGTGATCTCAACTGCCAGACTACAATAAGAACTGTTTGGATTTTGGGATATGATGGGTTTTCAAGCTTTCAGCTCACATGTGCCTGTACACCTATCCCTAGCAATATTGTTGTGCCTTCAATAAATACTTGTTCTGTGTTTGATAAACCACTGTGAGAGCTCCCGCCCACGCCAGGGCTGCAGCTATTTAGGGAGACCATTTCAACTGTTAGCAGGAACATATCACCCAATCTGTCATCAGGCTCTCTGCAACAATCCTTATCATTAGCCTTGCTTATTGTCCTGTGAGTGCTTATCAGCAGCAATTCCACACACAGAGTGGTAGAATTAATGCTGGCCAGGAAAGTGATAGCTTATCTAGAAGCTGGTACTTCCTAAGAGCAGAACTCCTGTTTAATTTGGCAAGAAATCAAAGCATACCCAGGGTGCTGCACTGACAGGCTGTTATGACCAGCAGTATTTCACTGTTTCGTGTTGGGTTCTGATGAGCACTGCAGAAAATGAAATGTAAAGACAGGAGTAACAGAGTGAGTTTGAGAATTACAGGAATGATCAGTCCAAATACCAAAAAAAAAAAAAAAAAAAAAACAACCCAAAAAAACACCAACAAAAAACCCCAACTCTCCCCTTCAAATGCCATATAATTGTGGTGTTATTTAATTATCTTCTTTTCCTCCACTGGAGGTGGTCAATCCACTGGTGATGTTAACTCAGGCATATGAAGGGTGCAGAACAATTCCAATTTTACCCTTACACAACAGTTACCCCACAACCGCTAGGAACTACTACAGCTATTAACAACAACAATGTGCAAAACAAGATTAAAGCACTTACCATAAAAACTCAGATATGAGACTGTACTTTGCCAAACAGAAACTTCACCCTCCAGAGTTTTAGAGTCTCAGGAGAAACTCATTAAACTCCATCACTGTCAGGCCATGGGCAGACCCAGTTTTACAGGCTGAAAGCAAATGCTCATATGTCAGCCTCAAAATACCAGTAAGAGGCACTGACAGAAACACAGGAATACAAATGTTGTGATGAGTAAGAGGAAGTTACTCCCTCAGAGGAGCATCACTGCTCACACTGAGCTGCAAATATGGTCAGTTCTGAGTTCCTGCCTCACACCAATCTTAAATTAGAAACACTTCTCAAGGAATCAGGGCCCAGACTGAAGGACAGATGCTCTGTGCACTGAGCTAACACAAATGTCATTAATTATGTGGAGCATAAACAGAGCTGGAAGATGTACCAAGGCCCCAGTAACTACTGAGGTTGAAAATCTGTACTGATTTCCAAATTCTAATGCTATGGAAACAACAACCCAGTTCTCTGTCAGGGGCTGGTTGCATGTAGGGGCACCAATGAGCTTGGTACCATCTCATCAAAATTATAAATTAAGAAAAATAAAAAGTCTTGACTTAGGTGGATGAGCCACCTTTACTTAACCTGGAAAAGAACATTTAGAATCATAGAATCTCAGAATGGTTTGGGTTGGAAAGGATCTTAAAGCTCATTTCATTCCACCCCCCTGCCATAGGGACACTTTCCAGCAGACAGGATTGCTCCAAGCCCATTCAAGCTGTCCTTGAACACTTCCAGGAATAGGGCAGCCAGAGCTTCCCTAGGCAACCTGTATACATTATAAGTGTTCAATAAATAGAGCCAGAATCATCTCCCAACTATAACATAACTGCTTACAATGTTTTGCAATGCATCTTCTGCTATTTTCATTGGCGGGGGTGTGTGTGTGTGTGTGTGTGTGTAAATAGATGTAGATAGAAAAAGCAAAGTTTTAGACCCCTGAAAAAATACAAACATATTATTGAT